GATCGTGTCCCCCGCAAAGAAATGTCGACACAACACTCTGGACAGCTACCGCCATCTATGAGCGACGGCGGCAAGCCACGTATCAGGTTGCCGCCGTCGCTCATAGATGGCGGCAGCCTTTCCACTCTGGCTTGCCGATTGCGGCCGGCCATTACTTTCCATTGTACAGCTTCGCTGGTCCTCCTTCACCAAAATGAAAATACTGAAAGTTCTTTTTTTTTTCATTAAAGTTTTTTACTTCGTACCGAGCGGTGCAGGACTTGCTCCTCGCTGCCTCTTCTCTCTTTTTCTTTCTCTTTCGCCTCGAAAAACATGCAAGTCGAGTGTTAGGCTTAGCGTCTGAGGCGTAAAGTTTGAAACGCAGCACCAGCGCAACCGGAGTGAGCAAATGAGCCGGGAATCTGCTTTGGCGAACCAGATTAGTGGCTGCTTAATATAAAAAAAAGAGAACTCGCCAAAGACACCTAAAACTCACCCCCCGCGCAGGCGCGGCGAACCCCGCCGGCCTCACGACGGCTTCCGTGACAAAGTATGAGCGTTGCTGTGCTTTTCTTTGCGTTCTATTTCTGAGGCGCGTCCGCTTTGACCTTAAAGGGGCACTGACACCCCAAAGGTCGTATTTATTTTTATTGTCTAAAACGATGCAAGTTGCAGTGATACGCCACGTCCACACTAGCGAGAAAACGCGCGTGGCACGCCGATCGCGGCAAGTAACAAAATGTCGCCGAAGCACAGTCAGCGCCACGTGCGCGTGCAGAGACACGCCCTTTATCTTCCCGCTTAACCGATTTATCGGCGCGCCGGGCGCGTTTTCTCGCTAGTGTGGGTGGCCCTATAGACACGCAAAAAAAAAGCGCATCGCGAAAAGAATTTTCCCGCGCGCGCGCGCACGCCTTTTTATATTTGGCGTTTGATTCTTCCGCCATCGCCTCCTCGCTTCTTTTGATTCGTGACGTCAAGAATCATGAAATTTAGAAGCTTTGTAGGCGACATCTTTATAACATTTAATAACGGCAATCCTAAAACATGTTTTTTAGCGCAATTGCGAACGCCCTACGGCCCTTCTTTTTGAAATACCAAAAATCGGGAGTTCGTTGTGGTGCCGTCTCCTGGATTTGTATCCTCCAACGGAAAACAGGCGACACCGCTCAAAACCGGTCCGTCGCAACGCCGGCGCTCGCTCCTTTCCTCCTCGCTTTGGGTCGCGACGGCAACAGCAGGAAGTGGTGAAAGAAAGTGGACTAGGGTGCCTACATGTTTCCGCCGCTCCGCTGTGGAAACATGTAGGCACCCTAAAGTGGACTCTCAGGACTCCGCAATATTTGACGTCAAGGCACCGGCGCCGATCGCGCAGGAACTTCGAATTCGGCATTTGGAAATTGTTTTTTTAACTTTACAAATACTAAATTCCCAAATTTCAAATTTTGAGGGTAATGTCCCGGCATCGTTTTCAATCGTTTCGGATAATAAAAAAAAAATATGAGTTTGATGTGTCAGTGCTCCTTTAAACGCCCCTCCGGCTACCGTGACGAAGCATCTGCGTAACTATAGTTTCCTTTGCGTTTTTTTTTTTTTTTTTTGAGGCGTGTGCTTGATGACGTAGTTTTATGACCATATTTTGGGGACAACGCCGACGGCTTTTCGCGTAATGGGACAAGTAAGGCTTTCGTCTTAAAAAAAAAATGAAGAGAAAATCAACGCACCTTCCGTTCGGTCCTAATCATCGATGCGCAGAGCTCCCACCCGTGCGTACCTGCCGTAGCCGTGGTAACGCGGAAACATTTTATATACTTTTTTGTCTTTTTTTGTGCTTATGTCCCCAATAGCCGACTGATCACGTCCGCCACGGGTTAAAGGGACCATGAAGGCAATTTAATTCTTTTTTAAAAAGAAGGTGTTTTCGGGAGCATTGGGGTCCTGGCATGCCACACAATTTTTTCTAGAACGTTGTGACTCTTATTTCTGTACCTGCAAATAAATTTGCGAAACCGAAACAAACATTCCGATTTCTTCTCTTTTTCGCCTCTGGAAAGAGAAGTGACATCAGGGAGTACTGTCGGCATCGGTAGGATTTAGTGCACACTCAGTGTGGTTCCCGTGGTTCGCTCTAGTGCACGGTGGTCTGTGAAGAAAACCTGGAAGAAATGGACGACAACGCCGCGCTCGCAAACGAGTTTGAGCTCCCGTTCAGCGACCTCACGCCGACTGAACGGGAGATGCTGCTAAGGACGCAGAACTCTGGATTGGCGCTTTACGAGGGCGCCCTAGACCTTCCACCAACTCCTCGGTCGCCGCCTCCAGGGCGACTCCCTGCCCCACTTTTACCCAGACTCCGGCTGACCGGTGCTGCTCAAAGTCTTCTGGTCGGTAATGAAACGAACAAATCCTGACACCGCTGTCCACAACTCTAAGGAAGACGACGGCGCGCAACCAAATGCTGCGCATTGCTGCGTCGGTCGGCAGTTTATGCAAACTAACGTCGCCCGATCGACCGCACGTCTTTAGCCGACCTTTCGCGCAACCTACTACTGCACATAAACGCGGCATGATTGGTGAGACACCAGTTCGCAAAGCGAACACGAGACGACGCACAAAACCAAAACCATAAGTCCGCCGCCCCCGGCGCTCGTACCTTTATCTTTTTTTGTCCATGGTTGCTCGATGCTTTTTACGCGCCCGAGGTAGCAGTGCGGGATGCGTTCCACCAATGACAAACGGAGGGATCGCTTCAGATTATGCTTTTATACACGGTATGAAACCTATTAATTCCCAACTACAACTTCAAAAGATTATCCAACGTTCAAATAAAAATGTTTCATCACATCTCACCACCGAAATCGAAACCAAGAGCGCGTCTATCGTTTGAAGCAATCGCCAGACGAGGTGCCCGTTGTCGTCACGCTTCGGCGCACTTTAGTTCACCTTTCTGCCGCCGCCTCGGTGGGGTCTCAGGCATCGTTCCCGGCGCTATTATTACCGCGCCTGTTTGCTCGATTGGTGCGGCACCCAAACTTCTGTCCGGGCTAGAACTTGGTCAACAGTATCTGAGACGTGCCTGCCATCCATTTCAATCGTGAAATAAAACTTCGAAACTGCCTTCATGGTCCCTTTAAGCTAGCCAATCAGAACCGGATTCTGCGGTGATCGACTTCCGGTAAGCGGACTGAACATAATTCGGTACTCTGGGAAGATTCAGCGACTCTAGTTATTTATTTATTTATTTTTTTCACGGCACCTATTCACGTTCTCGCACGAATTGGGCAAGCAGAAAAATATGAAAACTGATCTTCACACCTCTCCCGCTATTTTTTATACATGGCCCAGTCGCCGCGTTTTGACGAGGAGGCAGGCTTTGGTGTGGTTTCTTTAAAAACAACGCAGGAATGTCCGTTCGCCATGGCGACTTCCGCTCACAGCCCAGACCGGAAGTGCACCCGGAGCGCTTCCGCCGCGACGTGACGCAACAGAGTTGACCTTGACGTCAGGGTGACATCTGACATGACGTCACATTGACGTCACGCAACATTACCTGAATCGGTGACATCACGTGACGTCGCATAACGCCAGCCACGTGACTTCATGGCGTTGGGTGACACCGCAGAGTCACGTGATCTCATAATGTCGCGCACACAGCCTGTGCCCCGCTCATTCGCGACAGATTCTGCGTTCTCAGACATGATCAAGACATGCTTTCATTTTTAACGTAATTAAATGACGGAAATTTGTTTGCAAACATTTTTAGTTTAATTTTGCCGTAAAATGACAGAATTTGGCCGTCTATGGCTGATTAATTCTTTCCGGTGCAGTGAGCACAGCATTCCGCCAGGAAGTTCCAGCGTCCACCAATGAACTTCTACCCGCGAGCCGAATCGAAATGTTGACTGTCACGGCAAGGTCTTCGATAAGGTAGTGAAAAAGCCCCCTCGTGATGACTTAAAACAACTACAAATAAGTTTATTGAGCTTGTTGGCGCGCTCGACCCCCAAACCCATCGAACTTAAATAACATCCGTCAACGTGGAGTTCTCACTTGGTTTCCTTTCCCCCTATGTCTGTCTTCCTTTTTTGATCAAATATTCGTTTTTAGGCTCACCTTTTTTTCCTTCCAATTTCCAAATAGTTCCTCCTGTTTTATTTCTCGTCATCAATGACTCATCGACGAGACGGCCGTCCACTCGGAGGAGAACAGGCCCGACTCTCCCGCGCGATAGCTTTAGTCCGCCCGAAACGGGAGACACGTGGAGGAGTGCGAGAGGGTAGGCCAACATGGTGACGTACCCTCCCCGACACGATACGGAGAGACCGGACTCGGAGCCAGACGGCTTCGCCCGGAACGTCCGCGGCTTACGCCTTCTCGGGGGAGGGAAACCAGTGACTCCCACACAGTACACACTTTCACGTACGGATCATCCCTGGTTCGGTCAGAAATCGCTCCAAACTGAAAAACGAATTCGACGTAACGCACTACGCCATAGTCTCCACCGCCAATGCCGAACGACTGAAAAAATAGAGATGTCAGGCGGCCGGGACCATAGCGTGACGTCATAGGAAGAGCGGAGAGGCCTTAAAGGTGGTGTTGATCAGGGGCGGATGTATTTATAGGTCAGCCTTGTAGAGGGGAGGGGAGAGGAGGAGGGGGTTAATAGAGATTTAACGTCACGGAAAGATGGGACGTTCCGGACGAAGCTAATTGCCATTTCGCCAACCAAGACCGAAGCATTTCCACATAAAAGGAAGAAAAATGGTGTATCCGCCCCTAATCGTAATAATAAAAACGGGACACTTTCTGTGGTGCTGACAAGAGGAAAGACACCGCGCAAAAAACGGGGACGAAGTGGAAGTGAACCCAGGAAGAGCGCCGACTCTCGACTGAAGTTTAATATTCAGTTGAAAGTCAGCTCTTTTGTCAGTATGAACCAACTAGCCCTCATCGCCACCCTAATTCTGCGATGTATTCCAGCAGACTACCGGACTGCCGGAAAAAAAATACGCATTAAGAAATACCCACAAACTCAGTCTTTTTTTAACTTTTTATTGCGCGCCGTTTGTCCGTACTGCCTTTTACTTATTACAGGGCCCTGAGAAGGAGGGCAAGCATTCAAACGTGACTTAGAACTCTTCCCCTCCGTCGTCTTCGGCCGAGTCCATGCCGACCTCCTCGTAGTCCTTCTCGAGAGCAGCCAGGTCCTCTCTGGCCTCGGAGAACTCTCCCTCCTCCATGCCTTCGCCCACGTACCAATGCACGAAAGCCCTCTTGGCATACATGAGATCGAACTTGTGGTTCAAGCGGGCCCAGGCCTCGGCAATGGCCGTGGTGTTGGACAGCATGCACACGGCACGCTGCACCTTGGCCAGGTCACCCCCGGGAACCACGGTGGGCGGCTGGTAGTTGATGCCAACCTTGACATTGCAGAAACACAAACGTCTGGAACTGCACTGCCTACACATCTTTGTAGACCGTCTTAAAAAAAAAAAAAAAAGTCCACGAAGCAACGTTGGAAGTCGCCATTTATCGGGCACGAAACGTGTCATTGGATCCAAATTCTTGCTAAACAATGACTCGACATTCTTTTTTTTTTTTTTTTTTCGGCGGAGTTGTTAAGAGTTAGTTTCCCCAGTATCGTGTCCTCCAGCTAACAAATGATGACACAAAACTTTGGTCAGCTACCGCCATTTATAAGCGACAGCGGCAGCCAGACAAACGGCTTGCCGGTTCTATATTTGCCGCCGTCGCTCATAGATGGCGGCAACCTTTCCAGCCTTTCCACTCTGGCTTGCCGACTTGCGGCCGGCCATTCCTTCATTCCCACCATAGTACAGCTTCGCTGGCCTTCCTTCTTCCCCAGAATGGAAAGGCTGAAAGTGTTTTTATACGAGCTGAGCAGAGTTCACGCCGAAGATTGATGCAGCCATCGTGTCCAATTCATTCACAAGAGTAAGTGCCCTAACAATGGCGAACAGGCAATGGCGCACTTTTGAAAAGGGTCTGTTAAAGGGATGGTGAACCGAAATTTGGATTTCAGAAAAAACAATGCAGGAGATGTAGGCGGGAGGCTACAATCCCTACAACACTACTCGTAAGGCGATATCTCGAATGGACGGCCGTATTTCTGGAAAAAGAGGTCGAGATTGAACCAGGCCGACGAGGCGTGTGACGTGAAGATACCTATGGCCAATTCGTCTGGGCCCGAATCGAACCGGTGCAATGCGGTTCGTAGTACACGGAAGGCTAGAGGGGAGAGGGGAGCTTCCTTCTCTCCCTCCAGCCTTTCGTGTACTAAAGCGGAAAGAGTTTACTGCACTGGGCGGGTGCGGTGTGCCCCCGACGAATAGGCACTCCCCCCCACACACACACACACTAGTTTCCTCCTCTCTTCGCTTCGCTCCCTCAAGGCCGCGAGGCAGAGAAGACGCATGGCCGTTCCCTCTCCTTATCGGAGAAACATGACGTGAACATTTCTGTCATATGCGCCTTCTTTTCTTGAAAAATACGGTCATCCGTTCGAGATATCGCTGTACGAGTGATGTTTTGGTGTTTGTAGCATCCCGTTGCACGCTTTTGTCGCGTGTTTTGTGGAAGCCAAATTTCGGTTAAGGTAGTTGTGCTGAGGAAAACACACCGACGATATTCAATGGTTTCAGCCGAAGAGTAAACGAGGAAGATACGCCAGTACTAAAAAACGACTTTAGGTAATGTTGGCAGATGAAAACGTTCATGGTTTACACCTTAGAAATACAATATAAGTGACGCTAGCATCCTCCCGTGCACGGAAAAGGGGCGACAAGGCCGTCCTGTACTTCCCTCTTCGAAGTGCGATATGCCATCGAAGGAGGCGAGGTCACTCGAATAATTAACTAAATCTTGTTAAAGATTTTTAGTTCAGGCAGCAGTCGTCTAAAACCCCCAGATCAGTCAAGTTTGGAAAGACTCGAGGCACATGTAAAGTGCGGTAGCGTACTGAAGCATGACCTACGAGATTCTTGGAGCGTAAAGCTCTCCTCCGGCCCTTTCAAACGCTCGTTTGCACAGCACAAGGAGCGTATAGCACAGCCTCTAGAGAACTCCGTACAACGGGGCGGATACAAAGCCGTTTATGATGCTGATACCAGCATCATAAACGACGTTGACAACGATGACAGGAAGCTATACCGGGTGACCAGGGCGCCGTTTCAAGCATTGGACATGAACGCCTTGGGAGGAGTGGCAGCCGTCTACTTCGACTGGGTCACCTCATGCAGAATCTGCCTTTACTGAAGTGAGCTACCGTATGCCACCAGACTAACCAGACTGCCAGGACGTTACCATCTGAAAGCTTCATTGAACAGCCCCGTATGGTCAACTCGGCTCGCTGGCGGACTCGCCTCAACCGTCCCCGAATGTCCGGAACTCGGGCAGCGGTTTTCGCGACGACCAGAAAAACAAGTCCTCATCTTGGCACGTCGCCCCTACGGCGAAAGGGCTGAAGCCGCGAAAGCAGCGCCGATAGCAACGTCATGGCGAGAGGGCGTCCCAGGGACACCTGAGAGAAAATTAACGACTAGGATTCGGGCAGACGAGCGCCTTTTTATCCTGACAGTAAGCGAAGCAGGCTCGAGTATGGTGAAGAGCATCGAGACAATTTTTCCTCCGCTATCTTTGTCTCTCCCGACGAATGGGATGGCCGGATGAGAGCTTTGCTCGCCAAGAGTCTCAGAGGCCAGGGCTAAAGTTACCACTTGCGCTACAAGCGCAACGCTGGGGGTGCGAAGACGAGGATTGAAAATGCATTATCCGCGCTTTCGTAAACACTGCGAAGGCTGAGCACGTAGCACGAGTGGAAACTGCAGCGCACCCCAGCGTGCTCCAAATATTTCTAATGTACTGGGTGTATCAAGGGGAGGCCAGGCTCTCTAAATCGACCGCAAAATTTGGTTTCTTAACCTATCGCGCTACGATTTTGTGCAGCGTTGCCCACAGATGGTGCTTTTTCTTTTCTTTTTTTTTCTGTTTTGTAAATTTTGCAAAGAGCGAGTTTAATGAGGAAAAAGTAAAGAAATAAAAAGGCTTATCTCCTATGGAAACGCAACGACGCCAACGGTCTTCAAACAACACGGCGCCGTTTCGCACGGGAGGCAAGAGATGGCGCAAGCGGTCGCGACGCCAACTGCCGCCAACGAACGAGCATACGACGCCGCGAGCCGGCGTCTTTAGCAGACAAGGAACTGCAGTTCCTTGTTGTTACCGCGCATGTTTTTGTTTCTGCGACTGTCGCCGCCTGCGGAACGCGCGCCGCTTTTGAGTCGAAAAGCTGCATGCTCGTTCGTTGGCGGCGTTCGTTGCGCCATCTCTTGTCTCCCGTGCAAAACGGCGCCGTGTTGTTTGAAGACCGGTGGCGTCGCTGCGTCTCCATAGGAGCTAAGCCTTTTTCTTTCTTTACTTTTTCCTCGGGTAAGTTCGCTCTTTGCAAACTTTACAAGAAAAAATGCACCATCTCTGGGCAACGCTGCACAAAATCGTAGCCCTATAGGTTAAGAAACCGAATTTTGCGGTCGATTTAAAAAGCCTGGCCTCCCCTTGATACACCCAGTAGACTGATTTAGTGGTTGTCGATGACGCTCAGCAAGTTTCTAATTGGGAACTACGCTTATTTTTACTAAGGAAAAAGTTAACTCTGAAATTTCAGTTAACTATCCGACTTACCGTGACAATATTATGTACCCCTGGCCGTATAATCTTCCTGCACAACATTAGTGTAGCTTTCACTGCTTTTTTTTAAGTAGGTCTGTTTGAAGTAAAGTCATACATTCTGTAGATGCAAATTTAGTCAGAGATGCACCACGGAGTCAAGTCGTGGTGTCAGGTGATGTCATGTTACACAAATGATTTGACACCCAACCTTGGTAGATTTAATAACGTTGACACTGACGTCATGCGGCACCACGATTTCCCACCGCGAGTCACGTGACACTGTGACGGAAGGCGATTTGATTGAAGCATGGTATAACTGGTCACCTGATCTGCAGTGGCACCATCCACGTGACCGACAGTGGCGCCCTGCTAAATTCAACTGATGGCGTCACATATCCACGTCGCTTCCGACGGCACAGTACAGCGACGCGACCACACGAACCCCAACTCTTCCGTTAAAATGCATTCTGCATTGAAAAATGATGCCGAAATCGCTGCTGTCGCTATGAAGATTCTTGATTAAATGCGTCAGCACGTAGCCCAAAGGTTCGAACTCAGCGAAAAATATATATTCTAACCTCGCAGCGTTTTTTTTTTTGTTTTTTTTGGGGGGGGGGGGGGGGGGGGGGGGGGACCGTGGCATATTGTTTTCTTCGGAGAGCCAGTCAGTTCTGCCGGGCGTCGGCGGTTTTCGATGCAGTCACCACAGCTTCCATCAATCGCCGCCAACAATTCGCATACTTTTGTCTTCGAAGAGCCAATCTTTCCTCGCAGCTTCTCGGCGGTTTCGCGCAAACTGATTCGTCGCTGAGCCTCAATTTTACGTTGTCGCGTACGTCGTGAATACTGGGGAAACAAAACCATATGCATACGCCCTTGTACCATCGTAAGATCGTAAGAGGAATGCGCGATAACAGCGGTGCGTCCTAAGCATGCTACATGACTATTTGCCTATTACGTGGCAAAGCAAGCGTAACGAGCAAACGAACGGAATGAAAGCACGGCGAGGACCGCGCCGCCGCCCCCCACCGAAACCAGTCCTATCCAAACCACGACCGTCCAAACGAAAGACTGCTGTACACACCAGGGCAATAAATGCTCACGCATTTAAAACAGAGAAAGAGTGAAAGGAGCCACACCTTGAATCCAGTGGGGCACCAGTCCACAAATCGGATGCTGCTTTTGGTCTTGATGGCCGCAATGGCTGCGTTCACGTCCTTGGGAACCACGTCTCCCCGGTAGAGCAGGCAGCAGGCCATGTACTTGCCGTGGCGGGGGTCGCACTTCACCATCTGGTTGACCGGCTCGAAGCACGAGTTGGTGATCTCGGAGACCGTCAGCTGCTCGTGGTAGGCCTTCTCCGCAGAGATGACCGGGGCATACGCGACCAGTGGGAAGTGGATGCGCGGGTACGGCACCAAGTTGGTCTGGAACTCGGTCAGGTCGACGTTGAGGGAACCGTCGAAGCGCAGGGAAGCCGTGATTGAGGAAACAACTTGACTGATTAGTCGGTTCAAGTTGGTGTAACTCGGCCGCCCGATGTCGAGGTTACGGCGGCAGATCTCAAAGATTGCCTCGTTGTCAACCATGAACGAGCAGTCCGAATGCTCCAGTGTAGTGTGTGTTGTGAGGATGGAGTTGTACGGCTCAACAACAGCCGTAGAGACCTGGGCGAAACAAAAATACAAGACGAATAAATAAATGCATAATGCCAGCTCTGCCACAGACGCTTCAACATCAAAATAACACATGTTAAGGCGGCGAATGCTGGTTGACAGCTGGGACATTATCCCTGATGGTAAGCCTGGTTCGCCCGCGGTCTTTCCAGTCGCTACACAAAGACCAGAAATCTGGGCCGGGTGGGTGGGGGGGGGGGGGGGGGGGGAGGGGGGGGGGGGTTACGTATTAGCTTTTTTTTGTTACTTTTGAATGCTGGTGCCTAACAGTAATATGGGATTGCTTACCATGCTCTATTAATTACGAATTTAGAAATATGCTACTCCAAGACTTAATTTCGCTGTGCTGTTTTCTTGTTGGAGATGCATTACTTCTTGAAATTAAAAGCTTTGACCGGATGGCACAAGCTGCCACCCGATTAAGAGCGTTCAGTCGTACCCCCCATTCATTCATCAACCCCTCTTCACATATGGAGGGGTGACCAGGAACGATTTTCCCAGCCCTCTGGCAGCGGACAGCCGCGTGCAAGGCCAGCTCCTTGACCAGTGAAAAAACTGATGGCTTTGAACGTACATCACTAAGTAGTTATACATGATCGCACGCCGGTGCGATGCTCATCAAGATCTAAACGAGCAGGGGTGGGGATTGAACCCAGCGTCCCTAGATTCTGCAGCGCAAAATCCACGAATCCTGGCCCCTGGGTCCAATCCACACTCCTGCCCATTTCGATCCGAATGACCATCGTACCGGCGTGCGCTCATGCATCGTATTTCTCACGGCGTCGTAACACGTCTTCATCTTTTAGTGGAATTGGCTGTTCACGAGATACTTTCGAAACAAGTTGCCGCAAAGAAGAAAGACATATTGAAGACCGACCTGCGGAGCGGGGTAGATTGCGAACTCCAACTTGGACTTCTTGGCGTAGTCCACCGACAGGCGCTCCATGAGGAGGGAGGCGAAGCCCGACCCGGTTCCACCCCCGAAGCTGCGAAAGATGAGGAAGCCCTGCAGGCCCGTGCACTGGTCCGCCAGCTTCCGAATCCGGTCCATCACGAGGTCCACAATCTCCTTGCCGATAGTGTAGTGGCCGCGCGCGTAGTTGTTGGCAGCATCCTCCTTGCCCGTGATCAACTGCTCCGGGTGGAAGAGCTGCCTGTGCACAAGGTAGAGGTTGTGTGGAAAGACTCATTCAGATCTATCCAAATACAAACCGATAACGATAGCCGCGAAAGCAGCAGAGCGCACAACAGCGAAGGGGATTTGAAGAATAGGAAAGTTGGGTAACCTAAGTGTAAGACGCCAGTATTGGATAACATGCATGCTCATGGAAATAGAAAGGGAACGAGCTATCTACAGTTTGGCATATACTGTATAGTTGCGGGCATGGCAACGTGGCTGCTATGCGCGTGATATGTGTCCTTCAAATAATAAAAACAAATTGTGAATACCTTCATACTGCGTAATCCGTATGAATTACAGAGAACACGTTCTTGCTCACAGGGTATATAGGCGCGTATCTATGCACAGGTCTCAAACAAAAACATAAAAATCGTGTGTCACTTCGCGGCAGCGCTATCCTGGCGGCAGTCGAAGAGAGGCTTTATGACGTAGCGCTGAATGGAACAGACCGAGTAGAGGGGGCTGCTCGCTCAAGGTCGAAACCGCGACTGAATCATGACACCGCAGCAATCAACATCTCTGCACCGTAGTCCAAGCGTGTTTGAGGGGGGGGGGGGGGGGGGGGGGGGGGTAGGAAAGCGTAGATCATACGGCAGGCAAAATTCCTGCATTTCCGTGGTCAAGCCGCAATCTCGGCCTTAAGCAAGCCGCCTACGCTGCTCCGTCTGCTCCACTGAACGCCATGTCATTAGGCAGTGCTTCGGCAGCCACTAAGGTAACGCTCGGACCATTAGATCGGAAACAGTTTGCATGTGCCACGCAAGTTTGGTGAGCACTGCACTTTTGCATGAGTGTTCGGAATTAATTTGGTTCGTCTGTGAACGCGCACGCACACGCACACACACATATTTGTTTGTAACGAATCTGTGTCGAACGAACATAACGCTCAAACCCAAGACACATTGTGCGTTAATGCATGTGCCAACCTGCTTATTGTTTCCTCATGTCCCGAAATTGGTGGCCATGACCAGATCGTAACATGCACGCTGTGCAAGGCTCTGTCGAGGTAGCCGTTGAGATCGATTGGCTGTTCTTGCACTGACCTGTAGGTGCCGGTGCGCACTTCATCCACGACGGTGGGCTCGAGGTCCACATACACCGCTCGCGGCACGTACTTGCCGGCACCGGTCCCGTTGAAGAAGGTACTGAACGAGTCGTTCCCTCCTCCGCGGATCCTGTCGCTTGCCATCTCGCCGTCCGGCTGGATGCCGTGCTCCAGGCAGTAGAGCTCCCAGCAGGCGTTGCCGATCTGGACTCCGGCCTGGCCCACGTGAACCGATATGCACTCCCGCATAGTTGCCGCGATTAATCGGAGACGGGAACTGCAAGCACAACAATAGGACAGTTGAAAGCTGCTGAAAGATGAACTGTTCTGCCTGCCCCTTAAACAATGAACGCATCTTGACAAAGTTCAGGGAGAGCCTTTGAGGGAAGTTGTAGAAAAACGGACATAAGCAATCAAATCCTCCGACCCACTAGAGACGTCATGAAGAACTAAAAAAGGGGAAGCAACAAATCCAAATATAAGAAATATGTGTCCACCCCAAAAATGTCCTCGACTATCCTTCCAGTAATTGCCCCTTTCCTTTTATGTAACTCCAGTGGAAGGCCGAGCTTTAGTGCGTAACGTGACAGACAGGAAACATGTCGGAAATCTCAGGTTATTTACTTCAATCTCCTAATTAAACTCCGTTTCATAAAAACAATAAAGATTTTTGCTGGCCAAGCCTGAGTCAGACGAATGGTAAGAATCCCGTAGTTATGCGTAGCTTGCATTGACGTCAGTTCAACAGCCATTAAGAAATATGAGGGATGTGGAAGAAAAATTCCACATCCCCGAGTTGGTTTTTCTTGGAAAGAACAAGTAAAAATAACCACTGCCACGGTGCGAAAACCTCATGTGCAAGCCATGGGTGTAAGCCATCGGGTGCAAAAGCCATACATGGCTTACACCCGATGTCATTGCGCAAAGCTGGCTTTCATTCAATACTTGTTCTTGCCGAGAACAACAAATTCGATGGTGCGTGGCTGATGTGACGCCAGTGCAAGCCAGTAAACGTAAAAGAACACCTTTCCCGAGCATGAAGTGTCGCAGGAATAATTCGCGACGTAAAGAATTGTGCTCGCGCAACGCGCCCAAAGTTCTTCGAATAGTCTTTGAATAGCCAGTAATCCTGCGACACCCTACCAGGGCGTCGGAGCCCTCTAGGAAAGCGGATCAACACAATCCAAAAACGAGAGGCACGTAAATTACCGCTAATTAAAACCGAAGGCAAGGATCGCGTGTCTGCCCTTTATTCTACAATCATCGTGCCAGCGCAAAAGCCTGAAGGTCAGCCATGTCACGCAGGCCTAACTGAGAGCACCGGTTAAGACCGGTGCATTGCAACGATTTATCGATTATCTTTCGCGAATAAGAGTTAAAAAAACTAGCGGTGCATATTTGGGGATCGTGGTATGGGCTGGAAGAGGATACACAAACCGTATAAATGAAGTAAACTCACCAAAAAATGAGGGGAAAGTGGGTGGTCTGTTGAACTGGTTGAAGATCACGAACCGCTGTGGAAAACAGAAAAGAACGAAGAGCTTCCGGTGTCACCGTTTTTTTACCGTGGCGCACCGCAAGTGTCGGATTCGTTCGAACGAGCTTTCTTTTCAGATTAAAACAATTTTATTAAAGAAATTTAGAAAGGTGTATAAGTGACACGATTAATATCAAACACCATTGTTATATTTTTACTTCAGTGACGGCTACGTTAGGGTATATTTTTTTAAGACTTCCACGCGGTTACTTTTTTTTTTTTTTTTTTTTTTGGCGTTCTTCCAGCGTTGCGCTGAAATTGCGCAGATAATCCTACGTAATCATGCTCTCGTGCTTTCGACTTGGTGAATGACGCAGGCTCCGTTGAAGAGCAGCTTTAGCGGCCCGGCGAGAATGACTCATGAGCAACACCAGATAGAAGACAATAGGGCTTGAGAGTAACGACACTTACCCATCTTGGGGCTTAAAATTATTGTTGACATTTATCTTAAGTTTTATTTGAAATCATAGGAAACGCTTTTCCCATCTCCATAAATGATTAAGCAGTTCGTGACAGAGTACAAAGCAATATTACACGAGCTTCCTAACACCAAATCAGATGCTGAGGAAGTCGCGCTTTTGGATCATGACGATCGGCAGTTGCGTCTGTTCTGTACTAAGCACCAAGATCAGTGTGTCGAACCGAAAAAAATACGGGTTCGGTTACGGTTCAGGTTCAGGTAAATTTATTTTGTTCCGGTTCTGTTCCGGTTCGATTAATTCGATCCGCGAACCGGTTCACGAACCGGTTCGGGGCGCTGAATCGGTTCGCCGAACCGGTTCGGAAATTATAAATGACAAATTGCAACATCAAAATAAATTACAAATAAAACATCTGAAATCAGCGCATACAAAACGGGATACATCGTAGTGTAAGGCTCAGGGATTTCTACCAGGAATGGTTTCTTTATGTGCACTCAAAGGTTACCTCACCGACGTTTACGCATTCGGACTTCATCTAATTGGGTCCGACGCAGTAGCTGTAAAATCCGCGACCTCCTTACAAAGTAGAACTCACTAACTATCCCGCCACCTCGGCGTGCAAGCAATTGAAGGAACAGTGGGGAGAAAATACAGCTTTCTTTATTTGAACTAGCCTTCGGTAACTCAAATTAGACCCTTAAAGAAGTTTTCATTAAACAAGATACGGAATATGAAAAACACTTCACCGAACGCAACGCCAGAAGGACGTAGTAGGATAAATATTAAAATAGAAGAGTTCGCTGTCTCACAAATATGTTAGCTTAAAGCACTGGCTTAAAGGGGTCAAGAAACGATTTTTCTACTTCTTCCTCCTTAGCTTTAATCCTCAACTCAAATGCGAATTGTGAAATCACGTGGTCGTGACATTCCTTCGGCACCGGTGCGATGACTCCTAGCTTCCACCGTGCTTTTTATGCACACCATAGAACTTGTCATTCCCCAGTGACAATAAGTTCCGTTAGGGCACTCATTGGCCACGAACGCGAATCCAAATATTCGTCGACGGATTGATTGTTGACGAGCGCACACGTCCGAGTGACGCAGTTCTCGTGTCCAATGCGTGAGCTGGGCTCGGCTGACGTCAGTTTGGCGCCGGTGACGCGCTTTTGGAACTGCGGATGTTTCATATTGAAAAGGCGGAGAGCTTTTGAAGGCAGGAAGGTACAAAATAGTCCGCTATATTTTCAAATGCTCGTACCGAAAAGCTGGCTTTTGACTTTCTAGCCTCTTTCGTTTGGCGAACTAAACGATATGCGGTTAGTAAAGTCCTAATTTAAAATCGTTCATCCCAACCCAAAATTCGTTTCATGGCCCCTTTAAGTGCCTATACGAAACCGGATGCATTATTATCAAACTCCACAGCCTTTTCTTTTCTCATTCCGATGGAAGCAAGCTTCAAGAACTCGCGCGTTTTAGAAACGTGTTATGAAATGAGCACACAGCAGCATTTAGGATTTACGAGATTGTAGAAAAATAAAATCCCGTAACGCGATTTTTTTTTTTTTTTTTTTGCACAGGCTTTTAATTCTCTTTCTTCCGTGCAAGCCGCGACCAGTGCAATACTGGTTCCTATGTCAAGATTCATGGATGCAGCGTTTTTCAAGATTCATGGATGCCGCGTTTATATTCCTAAGACTGAGTGGAGAAGAAAAATATGTAAGCGAGGTGTGTGTCAGTTGACGGCACTTAAAAAACAAATGGCATTGATAGCACTCCATTGTCACCAGCGCGTGGCCGAACTGTTTTGACATGAGCCGGTAACCGTTATTTTTTTCCGGTTCAGTTCCGGTTCGGGTTCATCGCGATAACAATTTAACGGTTCGGGTTCGGGTTCAGTTCCAGAAAAAATACCGGTCCGGTTCCGGTTTTCGGTTAGGTTCGGTTCCGGTTCGACACCCTGACCAAGATGGCGGCGCCCACAACAATATCGGGGAACAGAGTGCCGATACCATAGAGATCATACATACTAACTCTAGAGGAAAAGGTCCGCCATTTTCCCGTACATTCTGGCTGCCGCAAGCGGCGGATCATGCAGGCAGACCCTCGGGGTCCCAAACACGGTTACATCATCAGAGCAGTTTCGTGAACTTCAACAATCCACGAACTTACCGGTGGAAAGATATTCGCGTTCCTTTCGAAGCTTTTTTTTTTTTTTTGCATAGCGCGCAGATGTACGGCCTCGCGTTAACGCTAAACTAAACCATAACCCGACTTCGCCGGTGGGGCGCGGGTGGGCGCGGTTGAGGAATACGAAACTGCGTAACCACCAGATTCCCGAGATTTCGACAGAAGGGAAGTTAATGCAGCGTAATGACTTTATTGCTTTTTATAAGCGTCAGAATAGGTCAGAATTTAGTTTACAACGTTAAATTATCACTGTTTATATTGCTGAGAGTTTTCAGTCTTCGCGTTTACCATGGCAACGTTGCTTTCTTTCTGTCGTGTTCTGTCGCTCTCTTTTGCGATCGTTCACTCGGGACCCCGGGTGTCGGCGCACGGGATTTGCCACTCCTCCTCACCCACCTTTACCCCCCTGGCCGATACTCCAAGCGTAGCTCATTCAGTGGCTCTAGAAGACAGGGCCTTCCCACTCCCCAAACGCCATCACTAATCGGCTAGAAACTGAGGGAGAGGGAAAGCACCGAGCTGTTGGAATCATTAGTGGGTAGACGAATAGCTATACTTCGTTTCAACTTAGGTCCGAGCGCGGTCGATGTTATGAGCCGAAGGGCCAATCAAACAGCGAAAGAGGCACACCGTCATGGCGTGCTCTCTGCAGTTGATAGGACCAGCCTGGATTCGCCGTCTCTCTGTGCGTGCTCCTCCGCCGGCTAGTCCCATCAAGCACAGAGAGCACGCCGTGACCTTACGCTCTTTACGCTGTTTGATTGGCCCTTCGGCTCATAACATCGGCCGCGCTCGGACCGAAGCTGAAACGAAGTATAGATGCCGTTCTCTCGACTCATTGTTCGAATGCGTTTGAACACGGACGCCGGCGCTTGACGTTCGAATTCCGCGTTCGACGAGTGAGTAGAGACATAGGCCGTGTACCAAAACGTACTCGATCTCACTCTAGGGTAAAGGTTCTGTACCTTGGCGTTCGAAAACCTGCCCACGTCCAGATCCGTCTTGTCACGGGATACGATCCGCCGGTGTAACTCGGATCCATTCGAGCAAGAACACAGCCAAAGGCAGCTAGCTAGCTTGGCGTCTGCCCACTAATCATTCCAACCAGAGTTCGGTGCTTTGGCGTACCCGCCGCGCTTTGGTCTCCCCCTCTCTCCCGTTTCTCTAAACACAACCCTCAAATATGGCGTCTAACGAATGAATACCCCAGAGAGTACATGCTCAGAACGAGCTCACCAGAAGGGGACGAACACAATACAACGTTGTGTTGTGTTCGTCCCCTTCTGTGTTCCTGAGTTTCGGGTTCTATTACCATGATTCGTCTGCTTCTTTTGTGGGAGTTGCGGTGACGTCAGAATGCCGAGCTCTGAATAGACGATTGCAAGCTGGGCGACTGGCCGCCGCCATGTCTCTGCTCGAGCAGGCACGCCCGTGCGATTACGAACTTGCGAAAGCTACGTTCACCCGCGCGTTGCACGCGCTTGCACGCATGGGGCACCACTTGTGGCGCCATGCTTGCAATTGTCTATAGCTCAGGGTCGCTAAACTCGCGGAACCAAACATTCTTTGCTTCCTGACGTAGCGGGGGGAGTGACCAAAAGAACGCCGCAAAGTTTCCTCCTCCCTGCGCGCGCTCAACTTCGCAACTTCATGTCACATTCAATTGGGGCGCACGCAGCACCGGGAAAGTGCTGCCCCCAAGGCCGCGCCACCGCGCGGGTGCAGCGTATGACGCACTACCAAGTGAACACGAAGCATTCCGCCGTGCAACGCGCTTAGCGCGGTCACTTCAAGGGCAAAACATAAACGGGTGGACCACTGAACAAAATCCGCCGCGAGTGGGGCGGCGGCGCGCGCCAGCTAGCGAGAGTCTCCCGAGTCGCTATGTTTACCAAGGCCAGGAAGACGAAGCGTGGGAAAGAAGGGGCCGAAGGAGGCGGAGAGCGGTAGCTCAAGGCCGCGCCGGCCCGCAGTGCGCAAAGCTGCACGGTCTCCTTTCGACGGTGCAGCTGGTGCTGCAACGCGCCGGTGTCGTGCGCCGCACCAAGTCCCAAATGAACGTAGTGCAGCCGCACCGACACGACCATGTGAACGCGACGGGTCCATCGGTGCAGCGCGGTGCGGTGTGGTGCGCCCCAATTGAATGTGACATTAGACGAAAAATCCCCCGCGATCCCTAGGCGGTGCACGAGAGCACGAGACAGCGCGGGGAGGCGAGCGTTCATGCCGCTCGCTGTGCGTTGTCTTTGGGCTCTGTAGCGCCGTTGAGACGAAATTCGATCCCGTCATGCCTCGCTCAGTCGAGGAGCGAGAGCAGACGACAGAAGTTCGTCTGCTACGATGAGGCATTTGCACAGCGGAACCGAAAAAAAAGGAAGATTTTCTGCTC